TCAGCGGTTCAGTCCGCAGCCCCACCTCCAGCGGAAGTGCCTCTGGGACCGCCCCTACTTCCCCAGCCTTGTTGCCTTCGTCCTTCCTCGAGCCGGATCTTCCCCGTGCAATTCGGCTCCGCTAACCGGTTGGGCCAGGGCCCCAGCATCGGGTCCACACTGACTCACCTGGGTCCGCGCCTCTGGCCCTCTCGGGTGTTGCTCTCTGACCCACCCACTCTCCCACCCTCCCTACCATTTTTGTGTAATCTGCGCGGCCGCAGGCGCGGCTCGGGACCGCACAGGTAAAGTCTTGGCAAGTAAGGGCGCAGGTGTAGGCGCTTCCAGGGCAGGATGACTGGGAATAAGCGACGGCCTGGGCTTGGCTTTTTTTCCAAAGCGATCATTCTGACCGTAGGGGGTCCGGGAGGGTAGCTGCGGACCCTGGAAGCTCTGCGGTGCACTGGGGCAAAGAAGGGGAGGGACTAAAGCCCCGGAGCTGGGGGGCCGGGTCATCTGTGTCCCGCGTCTTGCGCAATCTCCATTGTGCCTGGGAGACGTTGAGGCGGCTGGGTGGGGGCGGATGGGGCGGTGGTACCCGAGGCTTATCCCCCCCACCTACCCCCTGCGGTGACTGGTTTCTGGCTGCCGCCTGGTCCGGGTGCGCACAATCCCAGTTTTGCAGAATGAAAATCAATAAAATCAATGCAATAGCAAAGAACATGAAAGATGTTGGGTTATTATTTGCGTTTGTTAAATTATTCTTTTTTTTTTTTTTTTTTTTTTTTTTTTTTTTACTTCTTGGAAAAGGTGGCTTCAGTTTGGATCCAGTCCTCTGGAGAGAGACCCAAAATATCTTCTGGTCTAGGGGCAGGAGACTGGGGCTTGTTTTGCACCCCAAACCGCGCTCCCCACCACCCTACTGTGGCAGCGCACTGTCTGGCGGCAGAAGAGAAGCCCCAGGGTGCGCTCAGCTTCCAAACACGGCTTTCCCCCACGCTCCATCCTCTTCCCTTTAGGGAGATGTCCCCCCTCCACCGACATCTCCCCGGTTCACCACCCCTACGCCCCGGGGCCGCGCCTTACCCCCTCCCCCGTGCTCTCCCTGGCACTTTAAATAATGATATTTGCATGCAAGGAGCGATTCATAAATATGTCAGGGCCGGTGAAATATAGGCAACATTTCAAACTTTCTATTTAAAAAACATGAATTATGGCCGCGGAAAATGTGTTCCCATTTAAAGGCGATACGAAGTATTTGGTGTCTCGTCCCCGGGCCCATCCATCACGCAGACAATAAAGAGAGTTTTTCGCCCTGACACCCACGATTTATGGGCGCCCTTCTCTGCCCTCATCACTCACCCGCCGCGGCCAGCCCGGCGACAGGCCCCGCGGCGAGACGAGCAGCCTGACGAGCAGCCGCCCCCGCGCCAGTCCGCGCGTGCACTTTGCGCCCCTCACCAGGCTCCCCAATCCGCAGCTCCCGGGAAAAGCGCCGAATGCCTAGGGTTGGGGGATGGACTCTGGGGCCCGGAACAAACTAGGGGGAACCGCGCTCATCCTCCCATCCTGCCGGGGGTGGTCTCTCCCATCCCTCTGTGTCCAGGCCTTGTTCGCGGTTGGCAGCGCAGAGCTGAAAGTTTGCAACGCTGGCGGTGGTGGTTCTTTGACCTCTTGCTAGAGGTGAGGGTTGAGAAGTGGGCAGAGGGCTGCCCAGCCTGATTCCTGACCACTCTGTCTCAAGGAAGGCAAACTGGTCCTAAGTTTTTTTGAGTTTCATAGGGTGACGTTTCTGAGCAGGGCTTTCAGCAACTTTTCCAAAGCCAGCCCCCTCCCGTTGCCCCCCTAGCGAGATCCATGCAGGTTGTCCGTGGTAGCTTGGAAACTTTCTTTCTTTTTACCATCCAGAGCCGAAGAGTTTCGAAGGAGCGGCGGGCTTCCCTAGTGTTTTCACCTAGGGCCACGACAGGGCACCCGGTGCCCTTCTTAGACCCCACCCCACCGGGAGAGCGCTCACATGAGCCCGCTGTCCTCCCAAAGCCGTCAATAATCTCAGTTGCAAACTTGCTTCAAAGAAACTTCGGGCTACGCCTGCAGTAGAGTTTCCTTTCAGTTTTCGCTGAGAGCGGACTTGGCCTGGCTTGTTTTGGGTGTTAGGCAAAGCAGGGGCGGCCAGACACTGCTGGGCAGCGAGAGACTGCTGGGCCTGAGGGCACCTTTGGTACATCTGACCTCGGAGATGATACTCGCCACCCCTGTGCCCCAAGAGCCACCCCCTCACCCCTGGCCAGGCGAGGCGTAGTGTACAGTACTTGCCAGTAGAAAGCTGGTTCTGCTGGATGCCTGATTGCTGGCTTTGAATAAATTCAAATTTGGATAAATTCAGCACAAACGACAGCCAGAGAAATCCGTGGATTCTAAAAATGACAAGGTTGAATTTATTAGATGGAGATGCACGTGTAAGTGCAGGGAGATAAAAATTCTACAAATAGCCCCACATCCAATTCGAATATCACTGATCACTTTTGGCTTCAAGGGCATCTAACATAACACATCTGAATACTTAGATTTATGGAAGCCTACAAAATATTCTTAAATCCCCAGTGTATGCACAAATAATTAAGTTGGAAAAATTCTAAGGCAAGTATCTTTCTACAGCTCCTGCCCGGGTGTCATCTGGGCTAGAGATAGAACTTAATGTCCAAATAACCACCCAGTGGCTATTTCCTACAGACAGTCGAAGGGCAGAGTATCTACAGCTCCTTAAATATCTGCAGCGTGGCAGAAATGAAATAAATAGAGTTAAGAAAAGCAAACTCATAGATAAATGAGCCACTGTATCAGTACAGTATTTCTGGGTATGGAGATAAATATTCCTAAGAGGTCAGCTGTGGACAGTGAAACAGAGAGGCTCTTAGGGACCTTGTATATGGAACACCGGTTCTGCCACCCAGTACCCAAGCAGGCGGATACTATTCAGTGGTGGTCTTGAATCCAGGCCTGATGCTGGGACAGACTCGGCCTGGACTCAACACTGCTGTGCTTTGGGGGTTCTCCAGGATGCAGGCCCAGAGAAAGACCTGGCATTTAAGGTAGCAGGGCCTGGGGTCCTGTGAGCAGCCTTTCCTTCCTAGATGCTGCAGCCAGCCCTCATCAGTCCTGTCTCCTCGTTGCTTTGGAAGCGAAAATTCAGGACTATGGCTTTGGAGGAAGAGCGCAGAAAAGGGCCGATCGCCCTTGCTCGGAAGTCAGAGGCCAAGGGGAGAAGGCCAATATTTTCTAGGCATTCAGAATCCAGACCCCACCCGACCCTCCAGGCATCAATGGATATCCGGATGTATTTACTTGTGAAGCCTTAGGCACCTCCTAGTATACCCAGTGCTAAAGTTCCTGTGTCTTGCGGGTCTCCTTCATATATTTGCAAAGCCCAAGGAACGCCAATATCGAGTCGTAAGTGAAATTCCCAGACCAAATTCTAATTCCAGAACAGGGTGCTTGCAACTGTCCACTCTTCTAACTGCTTGCGCCCAAACGCCCTCGCTCTCCCAATTCCCCTTCGAAAGCACTCAACCCTTAAACAACGACTAGGCGATCTGCTTAGGGAGAAATTGGGGAGGACTTTGTCATGAAATCCTGAGAACCGCACACTTCCAAGGAACCCTGCCGCGAGAGAAATAACCTCGGCCGAGAATGCTCTAGGTACAGTGAAGACAGCTTCGTTGTGCAGGAGGTGGTGTACACGGTTTACTGAGAGGAGGGACGATACAGGAATATTCCCTGCAAGTAGGAGAGGGGGGAAAGGAAAAGGAAATGAGGTGGGGGGAGTTAGAGTCGAGGTGGAACAGAGAGGAGAGGGAAAGGGCTCAGTGTAAGAGAGACTAGAAGAGCGCAGGCCAAGGCGAGGTCCCCAGGACCAAGCCAGACCACCACTTTCGCAAGTCTGGGGCTTCCCAGACCCCGCGAAAAGTCAGGGGCTGCGCGGAACGGTCTCCTACGCCCAGCGAATCCGGGTCCCGCTCCCCGTCGGGTGGGGCGGGCCTGGGTCCAGGGGCCTCCGCGGCCTCCCCGAGCTCTTTCTCTCGCTCCTCCCCGGGGACTGCAAGGCGGAACAGGACGTTGGTGGGGAGGTCCCTGGGGGCGCGCGCCAGTCCGGGACTGTCTGGGCGCTCTGGGCCAGGCTTTCCAGCTCGCCGGGCCTGACCTGTCAGGCGGATTATCTTCGAGGGAGATTAATAGGGGAGGCGGGCTGCAATAATAATCGTTTTGTTTGATGTGACAACTCTGATAGGCGTTGATTTACTTACAAACTGATAGGCTTTTAATTGAGCGCCTCCGCCGAGCCCGAGATGAAAGGGAAGCGGCGGTGAAAGGCGGCCCGCCTGCCCTCCGGCCTCAATACTGATTAGCCATCTCGACAGTGAATAGTTCAAGGCATTTTCAAACTTTTTTCCTCAGCTCTCTCCCTTCCTTCTCCTCCTCCCACCCCCTTCCTCAAATATCTGCCATGCCCACTCCTTTTTTAGAGAAAACAAATCATTTCCATTGTGTGCAAATAAAACCCGCAGGATACCCAAGCCAGCCGCCGCCTGGGGTTGAAGGCATTAGGCCCAGCGGAGTAATTAATAACCCCCACCACCCGGGCCCTGCGCTCCCGGGGGAGTCTGCCGACCGCACCTCTGCGCAGGCTCGGACGCTGGCACCTCCCAAAAGCCAGGGGCATGCAGGCGCCCCCAAGCGCTCCGACCTTTGGAGTTGAGTTTGGAGCATAGAGAACACGAGCGACCCGCGACCTGCGCCCACGACGCACAGAGCAGACCCGCCAGCGAGTGCGGCTGCCCTCGAGTGCGCGGGAGCCATTCCACAGCTCCCTCAGGCTTGGGTCCTGGGGGCCTTCCTTGAGCTGCCCGGCGCCGTAAGAAAGCTGCTGGAATGAGAGCAAAGGGGGAAACTGCGCCTGGAGACTGGCAGAGAGTGGGGAAGGACGCACTGACCTGAAGTCACCTCCATTCTGTCCACAGCCTCAGTACTCAGGGCCTGTGGGGGAGAAAGCGGCGACAAGCGGCTCGCGGCCGCGCTTGCGACACCAGAAACACTGCCTTGGGCCCGAGCTGACAACTAGACGCCATTCACTGTGACACAGGCAGACACTAACACCCTCAGGACACGAGCGGCGTCACAGAGACAGCCCTGCGGGGACAGCTCAGGACTGTCCGCCCTCGGAAACCAGAGCCAGGGACTCGCTCTCCAAAGATCTTCAGACAACCTCACAGCCTGGCGGGTGATAGCGCCACCGTCTCGCCAACTTACCTTCCTCGGTGGGGTGGCCTCGCGGAGACCCCACAACTCCCCTTGAATGAATGCAGGTGTGTTCTTACACACCTCCCCACACCCCTCCTATCTCCTCTCCAGATTAGCTTTAGTCAAGTTACCATCTCATGAAGTTTACCAACCTAAAGAATAAAGGGAGAAAATTAAAAAGCAGGAAAAAAAAAAAGCCTAGGAAAAAATTCTTAAACTCACCCCACAAAGTTCTCGGTACCCTTGAGGGTGGGAGACAGAAAGGGAAAGGGAATGGAGTAGCTCGAGAGGACAGGACGAGCTCTCGAGGGCAGTCCAGACCCCCGCGCGCACCCAGCTCCCCTCCCGGTGCCCGCTAGTCGAAACCCGGCCTCCAGCCTCGGCCCCCGCCCCGAGCGGCACAGGCGGACTCCAGGCTCCCGGTCCCACCATTTATCAAAAGGACTTGACAACAAAAGAAGAGCCAGGCGGAAAAGTGGGGGAGGGGAGATGCAAAGTCTTCCAAGTCCTTCCGAGGAAGGAGGTGTGTGTGTCCTCCCATCACCCTCTTCCAGTTTCTGCGAGTTTCTGGAGGTGACCCTCGAACTCGCTCCGGACGTCGCCGAAGCCCAGAGCACTGAGACAGCGGCGGAGACACTCGTACACATGCATACACGCTGTGTGCCCGGGTCCAGGTACCCCGCGGCACGCACAGCGCCTCCCTCTTCTTCCCAAGCGGTCCGAGTGACGGTGCAAATCGAGGGGAACGCGGCAGTCCCGCTCTGCTACCCCGGAAGAACCCGCGTTCCCACTGGCAGCAGCCCCTCCCTCTCCCGCTCCTTCCCTCTGCTTTCCCCGCGCAGGGAGGTCCTAGCTCGGCGTCCCGTGACATCCCAGCGAGCATCCCAGGGCTGCGAGGACGGCACGGGGTGGGCACTGGGTGAGGGCGGCAGATCGGGAAAGAGTGAGCTTGAGGCGTGTTTTACCCGCACACCCAAGGCCAGGCCTCTTCCCCGCAGCCTTGCAGTTCTAGCTGCTACCCCGGGGATCAAGAATCCCCTTGGTTACCGCGCCATTAACCTCCAAGACTCGAGGTTACGTCGGCGGCGCTGCAGTTGGAAAGACTCTCCGAGTGTGGGGTCGGGGCACTGTGGAAGATGGTGTCCGCGACTGGGCGGCACAGCGTGACATACGCCCGTGGGATTACCCCGGAAAGGCGGAAAATCTCCCGTGTTAGACGTCGCCGCCGCCCGTCTCGGGTACCCGGAGCTGCCCAACTCTGCAGCGTCCACCGAAGTGGACGGTGCATCTGTCCCTCCTCCACCGCTAGGGGAAGCGCACACCCAGGCCTGCGCGCCCGTCTCAGCGCCTTGGGCGCACCTGCGCACTTTACTCCCACTATTCCTTTTCCTGACACTGAGCGCCTCTTTCCCCTTCTTTCATTCTTTTTCTTCGCCACCCCCCCATCCCAGGAGGCGGCTCCTCTTTCTCCCTCCTCCAGTTCTCCCTAGGTCTCTTCCTTCCTCTCTGTTTCTCTCTCCCTCTCCCTTTTTCCCTTCAAGTCGCACCCGCCTTGTAATCAGCAACAAAAGCTGACATAAATCACGGGCAGATTGACAAGAGCTGACAAATAACTGATTGATTGCGGTCGAGGCACATTGACAATTGATGGAGGGGTGGAGATACCCAAAGAACCGGTGGGGGGTGGCAGGGGAGAGTAAGAATGGGGGGAGGCTGAGTGTGAAACGGAGGAAACATGTGACCCCCGCTCCTGCCCCAATCTGCTCCTCCCCGGGCATCACGTGGCCAGAAAGGGCGGAGAGCGGGGGTGCAAGTCGCCCGGTGCCCGCCGCGCCACCTCCTCCGCTGCCCCTCTAGCTTCTGGTTTCTCCTCCGCGGAATCTCAGGAAATCAAAGCGGGCGGGCAGACTTCCTCCAACACACGCTGTACACCGTTCCTGTTTCTATCGGCCGCGCCGCGCAGGATCTCAATTACAGAAAAGAACATCCGAGGTGCCGGCCCAGTGCGCGCCCCAGTAGTTGACAATCTGAATTGCATCCACAGTCCCGCGAGTGCTCCATCTGGACACCTCCCACAGTTTATTTCTCACACGCAACCCCCCCATATCACACACACACACACACACACACACACACACACACACACACACACACACACACCACCAACA